GTGCCCCCTTACATTATGTGTCCTCATCAGAGTGCCCCCTTACATTATATGTCCTCATCAGTGTGCCCCCTTACATTATATGTCCTCATCAGTGTGCCCCCTTACATTATATGTCCTCATCAGAGTGCCCCCTTACATTATATGTCCTCATCAGAGTGCCCCCTTACATTATATGTCCTCATCAGTGTGCCCCCTCACATTATATATGCCCAGCAGAGTGCCCCCTTACATTAGATATGCCCATCAGAGTGCCCCCTTACATTATGTGTCCTCATCAGAGTGCCCCCTTACATTATGTGTCCTCATCAGTGTGCCCCCTTACATTATGTGTCCTCATCAGAGTGCCCCCTTACATTATATATGCCCAGCAGAGTGCCCCCTTACATTATGTGTCCTCATCAGAGTGCCCCCTTACATTATATGTCCTCATCGGTGTGCCCCCTTACATTACATGTCCCCATCAGAGTGCCCCCTTACATTACATGTCCCCATCAGAGTGCCCCCTTACACTAGGTGTCCCCATCAGAGTGCCCCCTTACACTAGGTGTCCCCATCAGAGTGCCCCCTTACACTAGATGTCCCCATCAGAGTGCCCCCTTACATTACATCGCCTCAACACACCACTTTTTTTTCCCCTTACATTAGGTGTCCCCATCAGAGTGCCCCCTTACATTAGGTGTCCCCATCAGAGTGCCCCCTTACATTATATGCCCCCATCAGAGTGCCTCCTTACACTAGGTGTCCCCATCAGACTGCCCCCTTACATTACATGCCCCCAATTAGAGTGCCCCCTTACATTACATGTCCCCATCAGGGTGCCCCCTTACACTAGGTGTCCCCATCAGAGTGCCCCCTTACATTATATGTCCCCATCAGGGTGCCCCCTTACACTACATACAGTCCATGAACCCATCGCACTCCAAACCGCTGTTCCATATAAAAGACGGGTGCTGCAGCAGTTGACGGATGGCAACCGTCTATAATTACAGGATAACATAGACACCGGCACTCCAAGTAATGAATCCATGGCGTCTGTTTATTGACGCATGAAACATAGCACGATGGATCAAAAAGCAACGTTTCGGAGTCTCACAAGATCCCCTTCATCAGGCAAAATGAGTGACCCCGAAACGTTACTTTTTGATGCATCGTGCTATGTTTCATGCGTCAATAAACAGACGCCATTGGGCCCTTACGTTACATGTCCCCATCAAAGTGCCCCTTACATTCGTTGCCCCATCAGAATGCCACCTTACATTCGTTGCCCCCATCAGAGTGCCCCCTTACATTACATGTCCCCATCAGAGTGCCTCCTTACATTCGTTGCCCCCATCAGAGTGCCCCCTTACATTACATGTCCCCATCAGAGTGCCTCCTTACATTCGTTGCCCCCATCAGAGTGCCCCCTTACATTACATGTCCCCATCAGAGAGCCCCCTTACATAGTTACTAATACCCCGGGATAGGAGGCGCTGGGCGGCTCTTCAGCAGAGGTAGAGAAGGCAGTCTGTTAGGGATGGAGATGGGACACACAATGGGGTGAATTTATGGAAACTGGAGCAGCAGAATCTGGAGCAGTTGCCCTTGGCAACCAATCAGCTTCTATCTATCATTCTCAAACTTGTCTGAACAAACCAAAGAGAGAGGCTGACTGGTTGCCACGGGCAACTGCTCCAGGTTCTGTCCCCGCGCTGTGTCCGAGCTGCAGCTGTCGCTCTCAGGCCCAGGATCCAGTTTCCAGTTTTGCAATAACAAAGCTGCAGCATAAACAAAGCCACGTGTCAGCGGAGGGGAGGGCCCGGCACTTCCGGCAACAAAGGCTGAACTATAAATAGCCCAGCTCAGGGCTGAGAACACTAGACTGAAAACACTGACAGAGGACACACAAGCCACAGACAATGCCATTCCTAGGACAGGACTGGAGGTCCCCCGGGCAGAGCTGGGTGAAGACGGAGGATGGATGGAAGAGATTCCTGGACCAGCACAGCAATTATGTCAGCGACATCAACAGGTGAGTTCATAGCCGCCTGCCCTGCTGGTGAACTACAAGGCTCAGCGGGGCACTGCCGGGCTTTGGCGGTGCAACATGCTTTTTAAAAAAACTTTACAATTCAGAAATGATGGGTATCATGGGACATTGAAGACCTAGGACACTTCCAGGGACCTTCCTTCTAGACAATTCTTTGTCTGTCCCTCATCCGTACAACTCTAAGCCAGGGGTAGGCAACCTCGGCACTCCAGCTGTGGTGAAACTGCAAATCCCAGCATGCCTCTGCCTCTGGGAGTCATGCCTGCGGCTGTCAGAGTCTTGCAATGCCTCATGGGACTTGTAGTTCCACAACAGCTGCGGTCCCGAGGTTGCCTGTCTCTGTACAGAGTGCCAAGAAATTCTGGAAGGCTGCAGAACGTTATCTGGCTGAAGTGTTGTTTACGTTGTGACGTTCCGGCTTCCATTAACCCACCGCGAGGGCTTTATCCATCAGGGCTTAGGAAGAGAAAATCACAAGCAGCCAATCAGATTCAGACTTCCCTGCTATACTGGAAATAAGTTTAGTTGCGTTTGGTTACCTCAGACTATCCTGGTTTCTGGTGCCTTGATACATTGGATTGTTAGGGGAAAGCATCCATGTCAACACAGGGAGCAGGCAGCATCCGGAGCCTTTGCCCTTGGCAACCAATCAGATTCTCTCTTCAGTTTGTTCAGTCAAGCTTTGATAATGAAACCTGATTGGTTGCCACGGGCAACTGCTCCAAATTCTGTCTGCTCCAGTTTTGATAAATTCCCCTCATTGCATGCAAACCCAGAACCCCGGTGCTGCAAGGTAGTGCGATGTCTCTGCTAATATAAAGTGTTTTCTTATCTGTTCAATAAGTGTCAAAAAAAAAAAATACCTGTTGATCCTGCCAGAGATCGTGTGAGCTGAAATCTTCCTGTGCTTTCTGCTTGTGCTCCAGTGTTATCCTTGTTCCCAGCTCTCTCTGGGGACTACAGATCACTTCCAGCTATGTAATGGAGAAGAGGAGAAGGGGGTGTTCTGTAGTCCTACTACTGATCCTCCACAGATGCAGTGCTGCGAGTAAGTGTTGTCACCCTAGCACAGTCCTAGCATGACAACACTGATCCTCCATAGATACAGTACAGCAAGTGAGAGTTGTCACCCTAGCACAGTCCTAGCATGACAACACTGATCCCCATAGATACAGTACAGCAAGTGAGTGTTGTCACTCTAGCACAGTCCTAGCATGACAACACTGATCCCCATAGATACAGTACAGCAAGTGAGTGTTGTCACCATAGCACAGTCCTAGCATGACAACACTGATCCTCCACAGATGCAGTGCTGCGAGTAAGTGTTGTCACCCTAGCACAGTCCTAGCATGACAACACTGATCCTTTATAGATACAGTACAGCAAGTGAGTGTTGTCACCCTAGCACAGTCCTAGCATGACAACACTGATCCTCCATAGCTGCAGGGCTGTGAGTAAGTGTTTAGCACAGTCCTAGCATGACAACACTGATCCTCAATAGATACAGCACAGCGAGTGAGAGTTGTCACCCTAGCACAGTCCCAGTGTGACAATACGGATCCTCCATAGATACAGTACAGCAAGTGAGTGTTGTCACCCTAGCACAGTCCTAGCGTGACAATGTTGATCCTCCATAGATACCGTACAGCAAGTGAGAGTTGTCACCCTAGCACAGTCCTAGCGTGACAATGTTGATCCTCCATAGATACCGTACAGCAAGTGAGAGTTGTCACCCTAGCACAGTCCTAGCGTGACAATGTTGATCCTCCATGCAGTACAGTGAGTGAGAGTTGTCACCCTAGCACAGTCCCAGTGTGACAACGCTGAACCTCCATAGATACAGTACAGCAAGTGAGAGTTGTCACCCTAGCACAGTCCTAGCATGACAACACTGATCCTCAATAGATACAGCACAGCGAGTGAGAGTTGTCACCCTAGCACAGTCCCAGTGTGACAATACGGATCCTCCATAGATACAGTACAGCAAGTGAGTGTTGTCACCCTAGCACAGTCCTAGCGTGACAATGTTGATCCTCCATGCAGTACAGTGAGTGAGAGTTGTCACCCTAGCACAGTCCCAGTGTGACAACGCTGAACCTCCATAGATACAGTACAGCAAGTGACCGTTGTTACCATAGCTACAGTACAGCGAGTCAGCGTTGTCACAGGCAGTGGCACCAAGGTGGGTGTCACCCGATGCGGCCACCGCACATGCGGTACGACGTCTGTGGTGTGACATCATCACGCATGCACGGTGATGTACTTCACTGCCGTTGGCCATCTTGGTGATGGACGCCAGCAAAGAAAGGAGGGATTATTGACCCGGCGGGATCAGGTATGGTGCTGGTTCCCCCACTCTCTCTCATGCCGCTATCAGGCTCTTGGGCCACCCCCTCTGATGGTGTCACCTGGTGTGGCTGCACCCCCCCTTGTGACGCCAATGGTTGTCACTCTAGCACAGTCCTAGTGTGACAACGCTGCTCCTCCATAGATAGAGTACAGCAAGTGACTGCTGTCACCCTAGCATAGTCCTCCATGATCCTCCCTAGATACAGTACAGGGAGTGAGCGTTGTCACCCTAGCACAGTCCTCCCTAGATACAGTACAGGAAGTGAGCGTTGTCACCCTAGCACAGTCCTCCCTAGATATAGTACAGGAAGTGAGCGTTGTCACCCTAGCACAGTCCTCCCTAGATACAGTACAGGAAGTGAGCGTTGTCACCCTAGCACAGTCCTCCCTAGATACAGTACAGGAAGTGAGCGTTGTCACCCTAGCACAGTCCTCCCTAGATACAGTACAGGAAGTGAGCGTTGTCACCCTAGCACAGTCCTCCCTAGATACAGTACAGGAAGTGAGCGTTGTCACCCTAGCACAGTCCTCCCTAGATACAGTACAGGAAGTGAGCGTTGTCACCCTAGCACAGTCCTCCCTAGATACAGTACAGGAAGTGACCGTTGCCAGTATTCTGAAGGACAAACCCTCGTAGAGCCATTAGAAATGTCATCTGTTATTGTTACACTGGTGAGTGACTGCGCACCCCCATCTGGTCTATAGTGACAAGAGGTTGCTATGGGTTACCGTGCGCCATGGCTCCTTGCACGGCCTTATTAATAAGTAACCACGGTGACACGGTGAAATATGGGCGGTGTCTTTTTCCTGCGCAGGTCACACAATAATAATAACTCTGGCGCAGTCACGGTTCTATGCACCTGGAAGGGTTTGTATTGTTGCGGATGTGGTCTGTGTGTGTGTCAGGCTCGGCATTGTGCTAGGCCCGGCCCGTGATGCGGCACTTTCCTGTCATGTAAACACAGGCCCGGCTCATGGAGCTTTCGAGACATTGAGTTCCCTATGGCCTGTGTGTGTGATCGGAGCTGGCTTGGGGCGGCGTGCACTGTGGCGTGTTATTTTTGTTTCTCTTGTGGAAAGCATGTGACCCACAGTGCCATGTTCCCTCCGGCAGATGGCGCCGCGCTGGCAGGGGGCCCGGATTACGGCGAGGGGTTTTGAACAGATCTCAGTCTGGATGACATTGCCCAGAATCTCTTGGCAGCTGTTCCTGAACTGTGTGCTCAGGGTTTCAGAAGAGCTTTGTGTGCGTCGCTGCTACGCCAGGCCCCCCCCCCCCTTTCTGAGCTTCAGCAATACAAAACATAAATATATCACAGAGAATTTATCAAAACTGGAGCAGACAAAATTTGAAGCAGTTTTGCATGGCGACCAATCAGCTTCTCTCTTCAGTTTGTTCAGTTAAGATTTGAAAATGAAAGAGAGAAGCTGATTGGTCGCCATGCACAGCTGCTCCAGATTTTGTCTGCTCCACTTTCGATAAATTCCCCTCATAGTGTTCCGAAAGATTGCAGTTTAAATGTTAGGGCCTTCGCAAACGGGCGCCGGTGACCGTAAAGGGATATACCCATCCCCCGCAAGCTCTGGGTGCAGCGTAAAGCCCCAAAATGAAGTCAATGGCTGTTGGTGTGCATGCGCAAAGACTTCAAATCTCACACGCACACAGGTTACGTAGTGTCAGCGTATACCTGACAGCGACAGCGCACAGCCCCCGACTTTACGCTGCGCCCAGAACTCTCTATACGCCGACATTTAGTTCCCGTTCACCCCTAGGCGTAGTGGAAAACTGTGCTGCGTTGGTGCGCACTTGTTTTCCACATTTGCTGCGCATCCTTATTGATTTCAGTGGGTTCCTTTACGTGTAACAAGCGCAGAAAACTAGCGCCTATCTAAGCCATAGAGGTGAGCGCAGAGCGACTGTCACTGGTGAGCTTGTCCCTTATCTAAGCCATAGAGGTGAGTGCAGAGCGACTGTCACTGGTGAGCTTGTCGCTTATCTAAGCCATAGAGGTGAGTGCAGAGTGAATGTCGCTGGGGAGCGCAGTGAAAGGAGTTTCCTTCTGGGTTCAGAGGAGCTCCTTCCATGTTCCGAGGGGCTCACATTTGGACTTGGTTCGATCCAAAGCTGAGCTCATCCCTGGTTCTGTCTCTTCCGTACTCTATCCAAAACCTAATTTCTCCCAGCCAGGCTCAGTCCAGTCCTGGAAAAGGACAGTTGGGATCCTATTGGTGACTGCGGCCAATGAAAGGCTCTTTGTAATGAAACCTTCTCCTCATTCTCTCCTTTCCCACACGATGACCCGGCCAAGTCAATGAACCTGTGACGTTCACTGATACCTCTCATTGTCAGGCCGTTTCTGTTTGCTGTGTGACTCACCTGTGCTATTCATCCATTACGTAGCTGCTATCGGCCCAGTAACCCCCTGGGGGGGGCACAAACAATGTCACGGGCCCGGGATGGCAGCGAGGTACCGGTACCCCATGCTGAAAGGGAGACCCATTACAGAAGTTGTATTATGCCACCAATGTGTAGGCCTTTCAGTGAGTCCGCTGGCACCGGCACATCGCTGTCACTGGATTATGTAAGCTATTGTTGAGCAATGTTTTGCATAACAGAGAAACAATTCATAAGCCTGACCCCGAATAGTATCCAGAACATAATCCTTGTGGGACTGCGATTAACTTCTCTCTCTCTGACAGAATACATAGGACGTGTTTGTATTAGCTGTGACGTCTGTTATTGCAGGTGACATGGCAGGTTAATGATAACCACGTACAGAGGAAAACACAGAGCAAAGTTCTCTTCAAGTATAGAACATGCAGAGCCAGTTACATACACGATATTGCCAGAAGTATTGGGACGCGGCCTTTACACGCACATGAACTTTAATGTCATCCCAGTCTTAGTCCGTCGGGTTCAATATTGAGTTGGCTCCGCCCTTTGCCGCTATAACAGCTTCAGCTCTCCTGGGAAGGCGTCCACATGGTTTAGGAGTGTGTCTATGGGAATGTTGGACCATTTGTGAGGTCAGGTACTGATGTTGGAGGAGAAGGCTTGGCTCGCAGTCTCCGCTCTAATTCATCCCAAACGTGTTCTATCGGGTTGAGGTCAGGACTCTGTGCAGGTCAGTCAAGTTCCTCCACCCCAAACTCCCTCATCCATGTCTTTATGGACCTTGCTTTGTACACTGGTGACAAGTCATGTTGGAACAGGAAGGGGCCATCCGCAAACTGTTCCCACAAAGTTGGGAGCATGAAATTGTCCAAAATATCTTGGTATGCTGATGTCTTAAGAGTTCCCTTCACTGGAACTAAGGGGCCAAGCCCAACCCCTGAAAAACACCCCAACACCATAATCCCCCCTCCACCAAACTTTACACTTGGCACAATGCAGTCAGGCAAGTACCGTTCTCCTGGCAACCGCCAAACCCAGACACGTCCATCGGATTGCTGGACAGAGAAGCGTGATTTGTCACTCCAGAGAACACGTCTCCACTTCTCTAGAGTCCAGTGGCGGCGTCCTTTACACCACGGCATCCCACGCTTTGCATTCCACCTGATGATGTAAGGCTTGGATGCAGCTGCTCGGCATGGAAACCCATTCCATGAAGCTCTCTACACATTGTTGCTCTGCCAATCTGGAGGCCACACGAAGTTTGGAGGTCTGTAGCTATTGACTCTGCAGACAGTTGGCGACTTCTGCGCACTGTGCGCTTCAGCATGCGCTGACCCCGCTCTGTCATTTTACGTGGCCTACCATTTCGTGGCTGAGTTGCTGTTGTTCCCAGTTGCTTCCACTTTGTTATAATACCACTAACAGGTGACCGTGAAATATTTAGTAGCAAGGAAATGTCACAGAACTCCTGAATCCAATGATATGGAGGGGTGTCCCAATACTTTTGGCAATATAGTGTAGATGGAAAGGTTGAATAAAAACACGGGTCAATCCAGTTCAACCTATAAAGCCCCTTTAAGATGGGCGCTGCCAGTTCCGATCAGCAGGGGACCCATGTACAGATCCCCTTCTGATCAGAACAGATGTCACTCTTTTGACATCAGAAACAACTCTAGTATGTATTCCTATTACAATGCTGATGTTATAACAGAAGAGGAGATGTTGGGACTTTACAACTCCTTGAAGGATTAATGCTCCGGACATGCAATGCAGCTGGTATATAATAACATGTCTTGACTAGTCTGCATTCAGCAATATATTATTCTTACCCTGTAATCCTTTTTTACGAGTCATTCCAAGATGTAGAAACAAAATATCCCGGTCCTATCTGGAACACGTTTCTTATGGTCCTTACTGATAACACTATACTAATTATCAGTGGTGTCACAGGGGGGGTTCGGCCCGCACCCAGGTGACACCCAGGGCCGGATTTACTCTCTCTGCTGCCCCAATGCCAGGTTCCTCATTGCACCCCCCCAGGCTGCATACAAGTGATTTCAATGACATCTCCAAGATCACTTGTACAAAACAAGCTGCAGCTTCCCCGCTGTACATATAGCTCTGCTTGCCCAAACCAAGGCTAAGTGTAGAAAACAACTACCCACCTGGTGCCCAGAACTGGGCGTCGGGAGATAGGAATTCCACACCCCTGCTGCCCCTCTACTCCCTGCGGCTCCGAGGCCGGGCATTGGTTGGCCTTTTGGGAAATCCGGCCCTGGTGACACCATCAGAGAGGTGATACCAAAATGGCTGACAGTGATTTTGGTGTCACCCCCTTCTGAAAAGTTGGGCACTCGGTCATGGACCGAGAGGCCGACAGTTGCAGGGGAGAGGAGGGGACCCGGCGGCATTCCTTATCCTCTCACTGCCGGCGTCCATCACCAAGATGGCTGCCGTGAGGTATCACAAAGCACATGGGCGAGGATGTCATGCGTGATTACGTCATGGCGGGGTGTCACCCGGTATCAGCTCCAGGTGACACCCAGCTTTGGGACGCCCCTGCTAATTATTTTTTATTATCATTAGTAATATTATACAATAATAATAATTAAAGAATGTAGAACTCCATGGGTGAATTACTTGGGCCCAGCACTCCTGTGCAAGATTGGGATGGCTGTTTTTCCCTTGTGTTTGGGGTTTTCCCAACATGATGCCGATCAGGATTGGAAATTTAGAAGATGATGCAAATTATAATACGCACCATGATCTCTGCATATGAAGGTCTCTGCACCATTCCACAGGAACTTTGTTAGAATACACATTACTGTGTTTATAGCAATAACTCCTGCAGTATTCAATTTTGGTCAGTAGATGGCAGTGTTTATAAGTTCTGATATCTATGGTAGATACTCTGTTGTATTGAATAAGGTAGAGACTAAATCTGTGGCTTCCTTCCTGTTTTAGCCAAGCCATGAGCAGCATGCATATCAGACTGTGTGCCTGTGTTTCTCTGTGAGGCTGTGCAAGAAGTTCCTACAATCTTGTTAAAGGGTTTATCATTACATGCAGTCTGCTCATTCTAAGTCCAGTTCTCTGTTAAGCTGGCCATACACTGTTTTATTTTTTTGCATTTAACCTGCGGGCTGAGCGAATAGAATATAACAGCTTCCTCCAAATCTCCCATTGGGCTGTTGTATTCTGACAGCGACGGGGGTGCTGCAGTCAGACTACCCGAACAGTGACAGCAGCTGGCAACGTTCACCCAAAAATGTTCCAACTGGTTCCTTCGATTTTATCTCAAACCGGCCCGGATTCACCCAGTGTATGGCCAGCTTTAGTACACTTCAGTAGAATGCTATACACTGAGTGGCCAGATTATTATGACCACCTGACGTTTGTAGGCAATTAGCTATAATTAGCTATAATTTGGCGCTGAAGTTGCTAGAGGGCCAGACCATTATAAATAGGGAAGCAGGTTGTTTACCACGACAGTAGAAGTGATTTGTCTCTGAAGATACGGGGAAACAACGCGATTTAACAGCCTTTGAACGTGGGATGATTGTTGGCGCTCGGAGCCATAGAGCGAGTATCAGCAAAACAGCAGAATTCTTTAAATGTTCAAGAGGGGCTCATTGTTAAAGTGTCTAAAGACCGGACTGTCAGCCTAAAATCTGGGTCTGAACGTGCGAATTGTGGCCGTCAGCGACTAGTCAATGTTAGGGCAGAACGGGGGAGGGGCAAGACTGGTACAAGACAACAGAAGGGCAACAGTGCCGTGTCAGATTCCTCGCATCACCTTTCAACATCTGGTGGAGTCACGAGGCGGCCCAACAAATTCATCTTGTGGCCCAACGAAGTACTGATGGGGGGGTCATAATAATCTGGCCACTCGGTGTATAATGTGATAACAACAATGAATTGTCTTCTGCGTTCTTCTGATTGGTCTCCTGTGTATTTGTTCATAATTCTGATTCTCGCTCTCTGATGACATCACAAGTTACATTTGTGGGGTTTTTAATGATCTGACTTCTCCTGCTACAGATATGGAGAGTTACAGCGCCCCCCCTGTCCCATATACAGTATATATATATATGATATGTTTATTATGTACATTGAAATCCTGTATCATTTGTAACCGATTCATGTTTCATATCCTTTGCAGCTATTTCAATGTGGAAAACAATAAAGAGAATCTCTACAACAACCTGAATTATGACATTTCTGCTAAGAAAAGGAAGAAGGATCTTCTTAATAACAACACAAAGACACAATGTAAGACAATAGGTGTGTGTGTGTGTATGTGTCATCATTTTGCATTTGCAATTGTTAAGCAGAAGTAGAATTATTTGCAGAAGTAGATGGTCAGAGACTACGGCAGACAGCAGTAGATGGTCAGAGACTGGGGGAGTAGAGAGGTAGATGGTCAGACTGGGGGAGCACAGCAGTAGATGGCCAGAGACTTGGGGGAATACAGCAGTAGATGGTCAGGGACTAAGGGATACAGGAGTAGATGGTCAGAGACTTGAGGGGATACAGGAGTAGATGGTCAGAGACTGGGGGATACAGGAGTAGATGGTCAGAGACTGGGAGAATACAGGAGTAGATGGTCAGAGACTTGGGGGAATACAGCAGTAACTGGTCAGAGACGAGGGGATACAGCAGTAGATGGTCAGAAACTGGGGGAATACATCAGTAGATGGCCAGAGACCGAGGGAATACAGGAGTAGATGGTCAGAGACTGGGGGAATACAGGAGTAGATGGTCTGAGACTTGGGGGAATACAGGAGTAGATGGTCAGAGATTTGGGGGAATATAGTAGTAGATGGTCAGAGACTTGGGGGAATACAGTAGTAGATGATCAGAGATTTGGGGGAATACAGTAGTAGATGGTCAGAGATTTGGGGGAATACAGTAGTAGATGGTCAGAGACTTGGGGGAATACAGTAGTGGATGGTCAGAGACTGTGGGCATTCTGTCCAATACGGTCACACTACAGACTTTGTAAAGTGGTAGGGGATTGGGAACATGCTACAGAAGACTTGGGACATGAGGCTGCTAGTGATCACTCTTATTCCCTTACAAAGCAATTCACTCATATTTATGCAATACAAAACACAGAAAATCCCCAGCTCACCTGCCAGCCAGCCTGCAACCAAACAAATTGCCCTGTCAACAGTATGCGTTAAAATCAGAGGTTTTAGTTGCACAAACTTTTGGCCAAAAATATGTAGAAGCCACACTGCCGCGCCAAGGCACCTCTGCAAAGTGTGGTCCTAACTCTATGTATCCGAGTCTCCAAGTGTGAGCATATTAATGAAGTTGATAAATTACATGCAGGTGTACCTGGAGGTAGCCAACTCCTCCTAATAAGGTGCAGGGACGCACTGGAGGCCCAGCAACCAAAAAATGCACGCTGGGACCCCAGTGCGTCCTCTCAACCAAAAATAGTCAAACTAGAAAAAACATAGTACCCGCATGAATCTATAACCGGCCTTTACGGCAGGGTGCACATTGGGAAGGCTTACAACAATACAAAACACAGAAAATCCCCAGCTCACCTGCCAGCCAGCCTGCAACCAAACAAATTGCCCTGTCAACAGTATGCGTTAAAATCAGAGATTTTGGTTGCCCCCTACACCCCCTTTAAAACTACCGGTGCCATGATATTCCTCTCAGCAAGATGTATTATAAAAGGTTTGAGGGAAAATAAACATATTTCTCAAATACAAACTTGAGAAACTCACTGAGCTTACAGTATCTATTCCAATGAATATTTTGTCCTTCACTGGTCCTGGGTATGTACCTAGGCAGGAAAACACTGGCAATGACAATAGGTGCCCAAGGGGCCACATGCTGTCTGCAGGACTCTAGTACTCCCAAGGTCGTGTAAACATGCTCACAGTTGTTAGATGTATCAGTCTAGCAGGGAGACTTTGCTGTAAGATTGTATAATGTTCAGAATATTTACACCTGAGTGTGTGAGGAGAAACTTAGCAACATATCTGAAATGACATTACTGAAAACTCTTCTCTTTTATTCTCTATAATAAATGTATTTCTTTTCCAACATTGTCTGAACAGATTTCTACCAAGAAAAGTGGATCTACGTGCACAAAGGAAGCACCAAGGAGGTAAGCAGATTAGATTCTTCTCTGTCGACATTCAGTATATATATATATATATTTCCATATTTCCCACCTAATGTTAAGTCCAGAAGTGTTAGTGAGAAAACATGAATTGAATTGTAACAAATATAGAAAAAGGAAGAAAGGATTTTATGTTACATAGCCACCAATCAGGCGCCTTCTTTTATTGTCCCATTCGGTACTACAGAGACATGCAGAGAATATGGTGGCTTCTGGTGGGAACATGTATATTTGATTCCAGGCCTGCTGTGTCTCCTGAAAAGCATTTTCCAGTGAACTCATTACGTTTTTTTTACACCTCCAGCGCCATGGCTATTGCACTCTGGGTGAGGCTTTCAACCGACTAGATTTCTCCACTGCTATCTTGGACTCCCGGAAATTCAACTATGTTGTGAGGGTGAGTTGAGACAGCACTTCAGTTCCTGCAAGTCTATGTTTCTGTTCTATCATACATTGTTACACTTTCATTTCCCCACCACCTCTCACACTCTGTACTTTCTGCATGTTGGCAGTATATTTGTGCTGACACAGAATGCTGGATATTTGTTTTCCAAACTCACCATGTCTGATGTCTGAAAACCATCAATCATATAAAATAAATGTCCCGGAGAGTTTGAAAGAGTCCACGGTTTTACAAAGACCAAAAATTCTCTAGTGCTGTCCTTCCTGCATTCTCTCTTCCCTCAGCTCTCATTTTTCCTTTCCTTCTCTCTTTTCTTTTCTTCCATCTCCTTCTTCCTTTCCACTCTCCTTTTCTCTCCTTCTCCCTTTTCTTTCCCCTCCCTTTCTATTTCAAAGTTTTTATTAGATTTTTTTCAATAGTAAATATACAAACATAGATCAGCAGTCATAACAACGGGACCATGTATTGCAAACATCATTGGAAATACAAGTGGTCGGCAGATGTAACAGAGAATACTACATGTGGTCCTGTGATGCATCTTAAGAGAGAGGACTATTATGGACAACTTAGTGGAATCAGGTTGGAACAACCGCAATGTAAGATTACCAATGTCCTCTCAGCCCAAAAATACAACGTTCCATATTAGTGTGGGTTGAAAAACATAATAACACATAGTTCTCCTTCTCCCTTTTATATCTTTCTCCCTTTTATTTCCCTTTCATTCCTTCTCACTTTCCTTTCCTTCTTTCCACCTTCTTCCTTTCCTTCACTCTCCTTCTTCCTTTCCTTCACTCTCCTTCTCCCTTTCCTTCACTCTCCTTCTCCCTTTCCTTTCCCCTCCTTGTCCCTTTCATTTCCTCTCCTTTTACTTTTCCTCTTCTTTTGCTTCTCTCTTTTCTTTCCTCTCCTCCTTTTCATTTCCTCTCCTTCTCCTTTTCTCTTCTCATTTCCTCTCCTTTTGCTTCTCTTTCCTTTCCTCTCCTTCTTTTTTCCCTTCTCCTTCTTCCTTTCCTCTCCTCCTTTCTCTTCTCCTTTCCTCTCCTTTTGCTTCTCTATTTCCTTTCCTCTCCTTCTCCTTTTCATTTCCTCTCCTCATTTTCTCTTCTCCTTATCCTTTCCTCTACTTTTGCTTCTCACTTTTCTTTCTTCTCCTTCTCCCTTTCTGCTTCACTCCTTTTCTCTCCCTATTCCTTTCTTTTTTTCCTTTCCTTATTACTTTCCTTTCCTTCATTTTTTCCTTCTTCCTTTCCTTCAACCTTTACTTTCCTTTTTTTCCTTCCTTTTCTCTTCTGTTCTTTTTTGTACTCTCCTCCTCTCCTTTTCTATATTTTCCTTTCTCCTCTCATGCAGTAATATATACGGAAGTTTCGTTTTCTGGTTTTGTAACAAGTTTAGCACAAGTCCAGCATAGAACAGGAAATGCCCCCTTACTAAGTCCAGCGGAAACTATTGTATGCTCCTGTGCTCTGTGCTTGGGAAGAAATCAGTTTTCAGTGTACCATGCTGTGTGTCCACACTGGCAGTTTGGGTTGTGTGTGACATTGTGGCTGCCTAAACCTGTTAATATAGGACAGACAAAGAAGTCTCTTGGCTCGAGAATGTTTCTCAGTAATAATATTTACTTTGCATTTGGCAGGCCAGATTTAAATGTAATTTACACAGCTGACTTGATGCCAGGATGGCAGAGTCTGTGTATTGTCATAAGGCTGTGTATTTCCTTCCATGCCAGAATCCCCTCAGCAGCAGCAGATCAGTTCATACACCACACAGATAACAGCGTGTCCCATGTACACATTATCTAGTCCGGGTTCTGCAGCTTGAGATAAGCTTTGTAGTCATTGCATACCCTGTGTATACGACAGAGAAACACTTTCCGTAGAGCAATTTTGATATACAGGTGAAACTCGAATAATTAGAATATCGTGCAAAGTTCATTTATTTCACTAATGCAACTTAAAAGGTGAAACTAATATATGAGAGAGACTCATTACATGCAAAGCAAGATAGTTCAAGCCGTGATTTGTCATAATTGTGATGATTATGGCTTACAGCTCATGAAAACCCCAAGAACCCCAAATCCACAATCTCAAAGAAGTAGATTATTACATGCAATCAATAAAACAAGGATTGTACATAGAACAATATCGGACCTCTGAAAAGTACAAGCATGCATATGTACTCAGTACTTGGTTTGGGCCCATTTTGCAGTACTTACTGCAATTACTTTTGCACGATATTCTAATCGAGTTTCACCTGTATGATGTCCTCAAAACTGAATATTAGTCAAAGAACTATCCACACAGCAGAAAGGCAAACGTAAAACCGGCCATACACCTATAGATTATCTGCAGGTTTTCTATGGTCAGGAAGCCAGGCAGCTTCGGCAAGTGAAAACGGTGTTCTTTCAAAAGAACACCGGCTTCTAGGCAATCGGGAAGCCGGGCGACGAGTCATGATCCGCTGTCCGACTTCCTGATAATTGGGACACACGGCACCAACATCGGTATTGGTGAGTGCCGAAAAAAAATAACGGTACTCGTACCTAATACAGAAAAAAACGGTATGGGTGCATCCCTAGCTCTTACCCTTCCCCGCTCTATCCAAAACAGAATATTTTATAAGTCAGCTGGACCTCACATAGCTATGAACTTGTAAACACCACATTCAAGCCATAAGGTTCTGGTTCTATTGTAGGCCCTTCAGACCTCAGCTCAGTACTGACTGCCATCCTCGCTGACTTGGGAAAACATCTGGTGTATTTGGATCCGCACAACCTGCAATGATGTGTCCAGTTGGCCGGACCATATTAGATGATGTTTCGCAGTTCAGCCCAATATTATCCTGTAATGTGTGAGAATATGAGGAATAATCTGATCATTAACCTACAAGCCAAAACGAATCCATCAACCTGTCAACGTTTTCCTTAATGGCGTGTAAAACATATTTGCCTTCATCAAAATCTAATCAGAACGTGGATATATTTTGTTTATAGCAAGGTGTCAGTTTTCTAGCGCAGTGATTATCTTCTGACATGTAATTATTTATATAATCCGGGTCATAGATTCAGAGTCATTTCTACTCTCTAGTGGAAATAAATGCATCACATAGGCTGATTGAATTGTATTCTTCGAAGTAATGTATATTGTGTTTGGATTTGTGAAAGTGATCAGCTGGGTGTAAATAATGTCATTACTCTGTATTGAAGAACTCAAAAAGAACTCCAAACCAAAACTTACCCTTGCAGTGGGACTACATCCGCACTGTGAAGGTTAAGTGCTCGTTTTGTCTAAGGGACTCAAATGAAGCAGATTTACTTACCTGATCCTCAGTCCCACCAGGCTGCTAAGGACCACTGACGTCATCACGTCTGCTACTACAGGTTCATTGACTTGCATCAGACATCAGGACGCTGAGGAATATTCGTCAGCCAGAGTGGCAGAGGAGAGGGGTGAGTGCTGACAGTGGCAGGACCAAGGATTAGATGACTAAAGGTGCTTTATTTGAGCCCCATAGACGGTAGTGTTGCACAAGAGGGGGACTGGGCCAGCCCTTATAAGATATGTCGGGCTGTTGGCAGAGGGGTAACTCCTTTAAAATGCGCCTATGGCGTCCTGCCTAGCCCCTGGCAACCAGTGACATCAGTGGTTGCCAGAAGCTTTGCGGGACACATGCCAGAGAAGAAAAGTCAGCTGCCTCCGTAGGTCGGTGAACTTTCACTAACCCACAATGGCGCTGCCATACCCTGGATACGCCATTGGCTGTTGGCAATGGATACTTCACCATTCAGACATACAGTATATTAGAGCATGAACACATGCTGGGCATTATAGGGAAACCCGCTCTCCATTCAGATCTATGACCACAGCATCTAGCAGAGGAAAGTTTTTTAGCACTTAGCACAATAATATTTATATATTTAGTAGTAACAATTCTATTTAGATCAGTCACTTATATCTTGTGTTACACACATACATTGCACCGTGCCGTGTCATAGGATTATCTAGCAGTTGTGTTTGCTTTCTGCGGCTCGGTCACATAACACATTGACCAGCTGCTGGGAACAACATGCAACCTAAAGCCTGACAGGAATGTCATTGGTTGTGTAAGCGGAGAGTCACTGCGGGGTTTAGGTGACTAACGGCGTACACATTCCCAACACGGCTTCACCAATCAATAACGAGGACAATGACTTATCAGGAATACAGGAATGTATACACAAATTTAATGTATATCTAAAGTCAACAGGTTTTTTTTTTTTGCTTTGGAGTAAGTAGGGAATGGTTAATACCCCAGTCAGTTCTTCCACCGTGTGTCCCATTGGGGAGAATAGAAGGGAAATCCTCCAATGGGGACACTAGTTGTGGTGACCACTAGATACAGTATTTCCCTCTTTGGAGAGACTTCCTCTCACTTCCTGCTGTGACCATTGAACAGAATGTGAAGGGAAATCTCCCCAATGGGACACATATGAAAAAAAGCGGACAGATTTTTGAAGTTGTTCCTCACCCATTGCTACAACTAACAATACAAACCTGACAGAGGTTCTACCCCCCTTCCTATACAAAACACTTTACAGAGAGATGGCTGTATGCAAACCAAAACGCATAACACAAAGGCAGTTATAGAGAAAACAACCCTTTGTGTCAAATGTGAACCAAGAGATAAAACTAGAAAACTGTCTGCGGAGTCGCCGTGTCTGAGAACTCCGGGGCTATGGAACAATAAGTGACGCGCTCTGACAGTTCTGAGCTGTTTATTAAGTTGGAAAACACTAACTTGGCTGCAAATGGAAACAGGACTGCGACCAAAAATCAAATACATGAAAGTGAAAGTTACCTGCCAAAATGTTTATGATCATATGCTGGAGCTCTCTGGTGATCATCAGACTATATGGCCAGAAGGTGTCACCTTGTTCTGAGGCCCATGTCACCTCTCTTCCTCTTATTATAAATGATAATCGAGGCAATGGGGAGGTCGTCTCATATTCTTCTCCTCCAGTCCTGGGTACACAGCTCACCCTTTTAGCTCCCAATGCCTGAAATATGTATTGTATAATCAGGAGTGTCCCTAGGCTTTTCACCGCCCG